AATTCATATGTCTGATTGTTTTAATTTGTCATTGATGATGCAGTCATGATTATTTTCATTCCAGTTTGAAAGGGTGATTTCTTGCTGCTTTAAGTCTGTACATAAAAGAACATGATATGCACAACAGTTTATTCATTAGCATGAAGTGCAATGAATATTTTTGCCATCTATTATATCATTATTAATTTATTTCAGTCCTCTATTTACAAGCTATCTAGATATTTCTTCACAGAACTCCATTTTCTGCCTTTCTCTCCTCACCAAATAACAATGGCCCTTGGTGCCAAGATTCTACAGATCTTGGCACCATCTCTTGGCATTATAAGCTTTTCAAACTTTAAGTTTCCCGCTAAACCTAAGCATTCCAAACATTCTATTGGTGGAATTTTTACAACACGTGATGTGTCATCCCCAGACTGTATTTCTTGGCGAGGGGTGCAGATGACTAAGCTGAATGAATACGAGACTTGGAACCTTATCTCATCCAATATGGGATCTTCAATCAGGATTTCAACGACAATCCATCTACACGAATAACATTGTCTGCTGCAACCAACTGGTCTGGATGGAATAAAAGAATGCTAATTTTGAAGACGGAACAAAGGAGAACCTCGCAAGAGATGAACACCAGAGTATCACGAATTGTTTAAGACTTTGCCTCTGCGCCTCTCTCCTTTTACCATGCCTCTATCCAAGATCGTTATAACGGCGTAAGCCAAAAGGGATTCTTTTTTCCTTTTCGACTGGCTGCAATAGCTTGACCATTTCATACACTCATTTCTAGCATTTCTGAGCGTATCGCCTTATCTTTCCTTGCCCCTCCTGATTTTCGTCGCCACGAGTCGCACGTGTGTTCCCCGACCGGACACCGAACATACAACACCCAGGCTGTGGCGGTGGCGGTAGTCCCTGATTTAACCTTGTTCAAGCCCACTTCAACGGCATTGGAATCAGGGAGGGCCAAATTGATATCTTTTTTCTGTTGACATGGGACATATTTTGTGGACGAGTATACCTTGATTACTCAAGTTGATCGGAAGAGGTATATACATTAGAAAACGGATAATTACCTGCTTCCGCCGGCATTCGTTTGATCTCTTTTACACCAAAGACTACTGGATGTGCGGATGGCACTCGAGCACAACGCCCTGGACCGTGGGCACTGGACGTTATGAGTTTTGTTGGATGGCTATTGTCTCGCAATGCGTCGGACCCTTCTCACCCAAGTTGCCCGACCACTGCATTGGCGAAAGGGGGTACGTAATTACTTGGATTGTCTCCTGTCTTTTTCTCACTCATATCCTCGTAGGTGTTGCTGGTTCTGATGCTAATTGCATATGGGTTTCTTACATCTCTAGGCACCATAATCATAAATAATACCTTTACTCTTACGCTAACTGAAAATGCTGTTTTCAAGCCATCTTGCACGGAAGTTCCTGTCGTCAACATCGAGAATCCAACTTCAATTGCTGACATAGACGAGCCTTTCTACGCTTCTACCTCACCCCAGATGTATGCGATCGCCACTGCCACCGTGGTCAGTTACCTTCTCGTAATCATCCTCTTCATAACACCGCGCACATTCTTTATCGGAGGTCGAGGTGGTGGCGGGGCCAGTTTCCTCGGGAGGCGTGGGAGGTTAACTGGCTCGTATGGCGGTTCGTCCGTAATTGGCGTTGGTGGCCGTCCGTGGCTGCAGAAAGTTGCTGCCGTTACAACTGCAGTTTCTCTAAGTATTGCGACGGCGGACTCTTTCCGCGTTGCTAAAAGTCAATATGACCGCGGCTACATAGATTCTAGCGCTCTAGCTGCTGAAGTCATTGGTGGTGTGGAGATTCGGATAGTCCGCATTATTTCGAGCACCTTTCTTTGGCTGGCGCAGGTCCAGACTTTAATACGTTTGTTCCCACGCCACAAGGAGAAGGTAATCATCAAATGGACTGGATTTGCATTAATTGTGCTTGATGTAATATTCAGCCTTCTCAACAGCTTCATAAACCGAACGCTTATAGCAAGACAGCCGAGGAATATCGTGGAAGCGATACCGGCCCTCAACTACTTATTCGACTTATCCCTGAGTTTGCTATATGCCGCTTGGGTTATTTTTTACGGTCTTTCTAAACACCGTTTTGCCTTCTTCCATCCCAAAATGCGCAATATCTGCCTGGTGGCCCTGTTGTCTTTAATTGCAGTTCTTATACCCATTGTGTTCTTTGTGTTGGATCTTTCGAAGCCTAATATAGCCGGATGGGGTGAGTATATTCGCTGGGTTGGGGCAGCAGCGGCGAGTGTTGTCGTTTGGGAATGGGTCGAACGGATTGAGGCTCTGGAAAGAGATGAAAACAAAGACGGAATTCTTGGGAGAGAAATCTTTGATGGTGATGAAATGCTGGAGGTCACCCCATCCGAGGAGGTCGATTGGCCCGGTCAACGAAGTAATAAACCTAACGGCGGAGGAGGTACAGGATCCGGGCCAATCTGGGGCCTAGCTCACAGACCACTGAAGACACGAGTCACGCTCCAGAGCCGCCTACCGCGGACGATCAGAAAATCCGGACAGAGAAAAACAACCCCGAGTTCTCTACCCACTGGTGCTGGCGTAGATGCACATCTTACCCCTATCCAGCTTACAACGACTCCAGTCAGTCGAGCGGATACTATTAGTGCTGCTAGCACTGTGTATAGGGTCCGCTATCATTCTGTGAGGAGTTTCATCTCCCCAAACGTAAATTGTGCGCCAGATGAGCAACACCGGAAGGAGTTTGCGACCCCCATTAACCGAGCAAGTAGCGGCATTGGTCAATATGATATATTGCCCCCGAAAGCTGCTAAGCAATGGTTCAGGTGGATAGCGATCCCGAACCCATTTAAACGACGACGCGCCTCTCTGCCCATAGAAGTAGCAACAGCCCAGGCAACAGTAACGCAAACTTCGCAGCCAGATTCTCCCTCAACAGACTTGGCAGATGACGCTGCTGAGAAGGATAAACCCCGGAATATTAAATCCAAACTCGACATGATTCTTACATATCTCCCCTGGGAAAAAGGCAGATCTACTCATGAACATCAGGATTCTGAAGCATCTCTGCCAGTCACAGTAATTCCGGCACCAGCAAGGGTTTCACGATTGCAAACACCAGACAGGCCCAGAGAGGGACATGCTGTATCAACAGAGGAGCATTACAATATGCGACAAGACGATTCCAATCTCCCAGTGATGGTAATTCCTGCGCAGCCTCGGTCAGCAAGGGCCTGGTCGCGGACTACTGCGGACCCACCATCCCCGGATGAGTATTTGAACAGTGAGCAAAGGAACGAGCCGTTCGACCGGTCATCCACAGCAGGTGGTGCCTCTCCTCATTCCAGAACTCCGATTGAAACACCCCAACTTGGAGATTCAAACGAGCGTGGTAGATCCGATGTATTTGTATTGGGCCGGACATTATCGTCTAGAACAATAAATCGTGCTTCTCCAACTTCGACGTCTTCCGCTCATGCTTACAACTGGGGTGCGCGACCAATCATTTCGGGGACGGAAGTGCCTATATTGAGGGAGGAAGAGGATGCGATCATTCAGGTTGTCATGGAAGATGCTTCTTCCTCTGAGGATTCTGCTTCGTCTCCTTCCTCTTCTTCTGAACCTATCTATTCCACCACGGAACGGCCACTCAATGATGAAGGGCATATCAATGCCCAGCCTGGTCCATCGCCATCAATGTCGTCACCCACTCCCACGACTCAATCTCGACATGTTTCCTTTTCGAGCACAGATCACGGTCGAGATAGAGATCGAACTCACTCAGCTACTCAGCTAGTATCGTCACCAAATCTTGGCCGTGGTGACATCGGCGTTGGTGGTAGTTCCCAGCTCAGAGATATTGATCTTGAAGTGCAGCACCGTCATTGAAAAGACATCTCTCTGGGTGTGACTTTCAGTTAGTATGATATACACTAACTATCTCCTCAGCTGGAGGCGAGGCAACATTAGGATACTTTTCTGCTGGGCGGATTATGAGCTCAGATTAGCTCCTTACTGCCAATCACTCCTGGTAGTATACAGGTCAATTTTGGCCGTGAGCGCGAAAGAACGCTAACACTGCCTCACCTCCAAGCGAGGACATGGTTCAAAAATATACCTTGCCTTAGAAACCATAGCACCAAGTTATCTCTTTCTTTAGCCGCTATTCTTCAGATGACTGGAGACGTATGTTCATCTCACTCTATACTCCGTAGAGTTAGCTTATCTTGTATGTTTAGCGTGGAGTTTCGTTTGGGGCTATTGGAATTGACAAACCGTTTTGGCCAATGGGTTATGTATCATTTATTGGGATGGGAGGTTTTTCCGTGGATGGAAGGAATCATTTTTTAATGGTTACCTGGATTTTGGTATAAAATATTGGATAGATTATCTTTGCTTGCCACTTGTCTTTCTTGGGCAGTTTGTGTTACCTACGTAAATTGAATTTTTGTTCACAGTAACTAAATATAACTTCGATTTTATTTTGGATGCTATATCTTGACTCCTATTCTCTTGCCTACAATGTTCGAGGCTCTCGGCGTGAGAGAATTCTCCCATGGTTGGGATAAATAATTTCACGAACGATACGAAAGAGTCCAGAAGAATTGCGACGTTACAGAAAGAAACACACCAAGCATCCATCATGATGGATGCTCTGCGGGATGATCTCAGCTGACTCCGGTCCTTGGCTCTCACACCCCAGAGTCCCCCACGTCGCGGATTATTTTTCAAGATCGTCATCAATGGGAGCCTTCATGTCTGGCCAACCAACAACGCCATCCCGCACCCAGTGCAGCACTTCTCTAAGCAATCGTTTGGGAGAAATCTCCTAGACAGCAACTGGCCACAGCTATCATAGCCCTCACCTCGTCAAGCTGCGAGTGAGAATACTGGGGTTTTGCCGGATTCGGTAGATGTCATCAAGTGCCAACTGAGCGACTGAAGCAAGTAACCTATCGATGAACTCATTAATGGAAAAAATATGTCCAACGTCCATGCCAACATGTTCGGAGCTTCTGTGGGTGATCTCGCAATCGCTCGCAAGAGGCCTTCCCTTATGTCTTTGCCTTTGAACCTCATTGCTGCAATTGTGGCGCATGTAAGAGCCTATACGCCGCTTTTGCTGGAGAAAATTCTTGCCCTACGCCCAAAGAGCCGTTGCTGATCCGAAATCTTTTTCCTATGTAGCTAGACAATGTTGCAGACCTCGCACGCCTCTGTCGCACATGTCGCGTGTTGAATTACATGACTCTTCCCCTACTCTACAAAGATCTTTCTCTTACTTCGTACGACAAGATCAGGTACCGCGATGAGATCGCCGAAGGATGCGGTAGTGCCAGCCCGTTTTCCATGGCTTTAAACGCGGTGGTGACAAGGAACGTGGGTGGGCTGGTGCGATCTTTAACATTGCGAGGACATTGGAGGGAAGATGAATTAGAGGAGCATGCGAGAGTCGGGAGAGTACCAGACTCGTCAATGATGCTGAATATCGTAGTGAGGGCCGCTGTGGATAAGATGTCTGCTTTGGAATCTGTCAGGTATGAAGCACTTTTTTGGAGTAAATCAAAGATATAAAGGATAAAAAAAAGAAAAAGAAAAAGAAAAAGGGACATTTGCTGATATGATTCTTTTTTTCAATCTCTTCTCGCGGGATAATAGCTGGCAGCTTAACACGAAAATGCTGGAGACAGTTTATCAAGGTCTCGCACAGCTGCCTAATTTAACCTCGTTGACAGTGCGGTTTCCATCAAGTCGGCATCCCCGACCGACTGCTGTTATTCCGCCAATGCCACATCTACGATGCCTTAAAATCACCGATATCGACCCACTCTGTTACCCCGATGATATCTCCACTTTACTCTATGAAAGCAAAAAGCTTCGGGAGTTGGGATTGCACTGGTCTTACCGCATGCGGGAAGAACAAGAGGCCAGTGTCTCCCTTTCTGATTATTTCCGCAAGTGTCTTGCTGCTAAATCGCCGTTGACCATCAAAAAGATATCGTTCCAAAATCTATATGCATTCCACCGAGAGGAGGTTATGCATGCCCTGGACCATTCCGTGCTTGAAGACTTAACCTTGTTTAACGCTCCAAAGGGTGCAGATGATAATGTATCTTTCGTGGAGTACAGCTGGCCGTTGCCAAAATACGAGTTGAAAATAAAATCCCTTCGGTCTGATCGTTTGGATACAAGGAGCTGCGAGTTCTTGGCCAAGGTTACAGAAGTGGAACGGCTATATCTGGTGAACGGCTTCCGAAATGCTGGAGATTACATCAACAGTCCCAGAAATTTATATTCGCACTCCTCCACGAGCCCTACGCCATCTTCTAGTGATGTATCTTCTACTAAACGAAGCGGAAATGCATCTGCTTATTGCGGATACCCCGCGTCTAGAGCGCATACCGTCAATTTCACATCTCAGTCTCATCAATCCATGTCTAATTTTCAACCCTATGTACGTGACTTATTTGTCCAAACAATCACCTCCACGCAAGGACCTAGACTCCGTCATCTTCTCCTCCCTTCTCGATGGCCTCTTCCGCCTGCCCTAATCGGACGCCTTGTGCGTTCATGTCCCAATTTAGAGCAGCTTGCTCTAGCAACAGATTTGTCCAGCATGGAATCAGTCAGCTTGCTACTCCCATTTTTACTCAAACTTGTTGCTCTTCGACTCCTTATCCCGACTTCCTATGCCACCTCCGATCCCAACTCAGGGCAAGGGATTTTCAGTCGTGATGCCCATCTATCGGCTCCAAATGGGGATGTCGATGGTTACGGTCAACACCGATTCTTCTCCTCCTCTGGGGAAGTTAATTCACAAATAATCGCTCAAGTGGTTGATATGGATGACCGCATCCACAACGAAACAATGGGCGCGTCGTTGGCGGATATGGAATTATTTGGAACATTGAAAATAATCGGCCTCGGCTGGAAGGCATGGGAGCTGGGCGAATTGTATACGATTCCCCGCTCCGAAGCGACGCGCGAGTTCCGTTTTATAGAGGCGCATGCAATTGCGTTGAAATATCAATCTATGACTGCTAGTCGTTCATCTTCCTCATGTCTAACCCCTGCAGGGGCGGGAGGGCCGCCAGAAGGGAACATCACGATTCCAGAAACTGGCCAACACGAGCGTCAGAAGACATCAAAGACATGGCCAACGACATTATCCTCGCTGGGAAAACGAAAACAGCCGCCAGATAGTAACGGCGATAGCAGAAATAACGACAACGATAAATACGATAACATTAGCAATCTCGATTCGCCATCCTCGCCCTCTCCTTCCCTCATCTCAGCTTTCACGATACCCACAAACCAACAATTCCCACAGGCTCCGTCCCAAACCTCCCCTTCCTCTACAACGGCAACATCCGTCACCCCACCGGCCGAATGCCAAACCCAAGCGCAACCCACCAACCCCCTTAAAACACGTCTACAACCATCTCCGCCTTCTCCGTTCGAACTCAATCCGCCATTCACTTACAATAGCACTGGCGAGCTTGTATCCCAAGAGACCATCGCAGAAGTAACTCGTTGCATATTCACTGAGCAAACTAGAGATTCCGAGATGCTTTACCGACGCCGCGTGAAGCGGGTGGGGTGGGAAGTGCTGAAACATTGGGAGATTTGGGGGTTGGATGTTCAGGAAATTTGAAGGAGGGATGGCAGTTGGAAATGTGGGCTTTATGGTAGTTTTACTTCTAATTTGTTTTCTTCCTGGGTTAGCTAGCGGAGTCTTGGATAAATTCCTAGGGTGTAATTTTTCCTGGAGGGTTTTTGCGACTCTGAAGCTGGATCATGTGTACAGATAGTAATGCTTTATTTCGAGATGGGTTGCGAGCGGGAGTTTTCGAGACAATGTGACACTGCTAATTTGAAAGTCTGGAATGAGCAGATGGTGCTGACTATATGATAAGCTGGTTATATATTTACAGATAAGAGGGCTACATATTTCATTGGAGTGCAGGCTCATGGCCGTCGATCAAGTACTGCTCGTCAGTGTCTTGGAAACTTCAGATGCCAGACAGATCATCCACCAGACAGGGAATCAAATATTATATATCATGATCTATGTTGAGTTGCTCTTCAAATATTTTGTTAGTAGTTGACAAAATGACATTGGGTGGAAAACAAAAATGATGATTGGAGAATTAACAGGTAACGTGACTTACCACTAAATGAGCCATACCACTAAATGAGCTGCTCTTAGCAAAACTGCCTCAACTTGCTAGAATCTAATTAATTCCACAACAATGAAATAAATATTAATTAGATTATTAAATAGTAATGAGAGTATTCTCTAGTTCCATACAAAATAGGTGATTTAATAAAATAGACATGTGCTTGGCTGAAAAACATAGCCATGGTAAAAGATCTAACATAAAGTAAAAATATTAATTAAAGAAGTATCAATTTCTGAATTAGTAATAGAAGCAGCAGTAAGCTGCTCTGAAGGATTGAGATTGACCTCATTTCCTAGACTGAAAGATCAGATAGAGTTTAAAGAATTAGAATCTGTTATAGATGTCTGCTTCTACTGCCACTTTGAAGCAGCTGTAGTTGAACTGACTAATTTTTATTTTATAGCATGAGTATAAGTTTGTTCTTGCTTCTCAGCTTCAAGCTAAGTCTTTTCTTTCTTATAGACTTTATGAGTTGCTACTTTAGCTGCTTGTCATTTAATATATTTTCACTAAATCTCTTCAACTTCATATACTTTTCAGAGATCATATTAAAGTCACTCTTAAGCTTATTGAGCAACTTTCTTCTTTTTTTTATGATCTACTTTCTGAATCCTCTCATGAGCTTGTTGAATCTTAAATGATGAGAAGAATTGAATTTAATTAAACTGCTGCTTTAGATTCAATAGATCTAAGAACTTTTCATACTATCATTACTTCTTTTCATTACATAAAGCTTTAATTAAAGTCTTATTCTTATGCATAAGCACCTTCTTTTCAAAGACAAACTTCTCACTAGTATATATAATCTTTTTTATATATTTAAAGAGCAGGTTTTATTAAATTTGAATTTTTTTAATATTATATTGAAGAGCACAGATAGTTATAGATGTAGCAATCCCAGTTAAAATTGAATTAACTGAAGATATAGACTGTTTTATAAATTAATAAAAAATATACTCAGAAGTAAAAGAATAGATATCAGTGATAGTAAATACAGATTGAATATTCTTAGTCATTAAAAACTGATTTTATATGAAATTGAAAACTAATAAAAAGCTTCTTTTTATCATTTAAATAAATTCAAATTCACTGCAAAGAAGATTATTGACATTATAAGAGTATGCTTCTGCTAGAGGACTAAAGATGTTAATATTCAAAGATTGCAGTTGATAAGTTAAATATAAAGACAATACTACAAGAAGAATTTAATTTTGATTTGTAAAATTAATAAATATTATATTGATATAAGAAAAGTATTCATTTAAAATAAGAAGATGTTTTTCACAGTCTGCTTTAGTCTTGATGTGCTTATTAAAGATTCATTTCAGTCAGTTAAGCTCATAGTCATTATTATTTTAATCATTCTTAAAAATTATAAAATAAGCTATATTATTCTCATTCAAATTCTTTAATCATATATTTAATATATTATAAGACTCTTTTTGATAAATAAGAATGAATGAAAAAGCTGTTTTATCTGCATATATTGCTATAAGTAGAGAGATAAATTTACAGATATCATCTTGAACTGTAGTAATTTACTTTGTCTTAGAGCTTCAACTGAAACAATCTGCTTAATAGTCTAATCAATATCAATTAAAAAGCTCTTTTCATTAAAATTGTAGATATTTGATAATTTAATATTGTATTTTTTGATCTTCTTATTCAACTATATAGTTATACAGCAAAATAATTAGCAAGAATCTATAGAGAACTTAGTGCAAGAAAACAAGCAAAAGATAAAAATACTAGCTGAAAATAATGCTCAAAATGAGTAGAATTATCTGCTATTTTGCATTTTTGATCAATGTCACAGACATAAATTCTTTGAATTTGAGTCTTATAGTACTCAGTAAAGTATCTCACTCAGTGAATTTCAACAGATTTTTTGATGATTTCCACAATGAGATTTCAAATGATTTGAGGTGTAGAAGCAAAGTCATGAGCTGCAAGCTTCTCTATATGAAGCAGAAGCATTTGTTCTTGTTGATTTGAGAGCTTCTTCTTTATGTTGAGAGACTGCTTCATTCTGTGTGAATTGCAAGTCATTATAATATCAGCACAGCATTTCCTTATTAATTGAGTGCTTCCTAGCAGTTGCAGTGTAATTTTTGACCTTTTGAGCTCTTAAATCCTTAATTGCAAGTTGAATAGCTTCTTTGTTTGGCATCTCAAAGCAGTGGAAGTTGAAGAATTAAATTGCAGCACATCGCAAAAACACAGCTCATTTAGTGGTACAGCTCATTTAGTGGTAAGTCACGTTAACTTAGTTTAGCTGAGGCAAAAGTAACAATTCTCACTCCAAATAGCCATGAAATCAGAGCTGTTGTTAAGGGGAATCAAATAAAGACAAATCTCTCAACCCGCTTCGTTGGCGTAGACTTTTCGAAGTATAACTAAACTACTGCTCACAGATGCAGATAAATAATCACCTTGATGGCTTTGGCTGAAACCCCTGCATGATCTTTGTAGCATAGAATCTCTGCTGGGTGTAGTTGAAATTTGACTCACTCTTCTATAGCAATTAGTCTATCAACTGAAATACTGCCCAGGGAAGCCCCTATTACTCCAGAAGATGATACGATTAAATCTTTTGACAAATGATGCCGAACGACGATTTCAACTGAGATATTAACATACGACCATGCAAGTTTAGGCCGGGATGAGATTTTGATCTCTCCTAAAATACATTTGACAACTGACGACGCGCGCCAGGAATAAGAGGAATCGCAGTACCTGCTACACTTGGGAGGCCTGGGAGAAAGTGTATGCAATCTGAACAACGGAGCCTTTCTTCCAAGGTAACTTAACTGTCTAACCATCTAGCTAAAAGCACATATATAAGTAGTTATACTAGATACAAAAGCACGATACAGATATGTATATGGAAAAAAATGTCAGGATATCAATATGTACTGATCACTAATCACTGACCAGTACTGTGGGGACGAAAAATGTACAGATTTGAGGGGGGAAAAGATGATAGAAATAACAAGTCAAAAGGCAGTGAAGGATTTGAAGGGAATGTTGGCCAACAGAAAAGAACATATCAATATGCAAAAGTAGAATAAACTAAGTCTTGAAAAAAAGACGGAAAATATCCAAACATGCAGTCTTGAAAAAAATTGAAATACGCCCCCCCCCCCCCCCAACCTTCATATTTATATTTTTATATTTCCTCCTCTACCCAACCACCTCCCTACAAAAACCCACCCGACAACCCATTCCCCATATCATCCTGCTCCTTCAACAACACCTCTAGCATGTCAAATTCCCCCACCATGGGCCCCGTCCCGCCCAGCCCCTGATCAACCCCCATCGTCGCATTATTAAAGAACTGATCAAGCGGCAACGCAAACCAGTCAGACTGCGCGCCCCCACTACCACCAGCACCAGCACCAGCACCAGCACCATTAGCCATACCTGACCCGTCGTTCCCGTTACTGGTGTTTTGGTTACTGATAACCTCCGGCGCGATAGTGATGGGCGATGCGCCTGCGCCGGCTGTGGCTGTGGCGGTAGGATCGCCGTCCAAGTCCATTTTTAGCGTGGCGGTGCTGGGGTCGTAGTAGTTGTAAAAGACGGAGGCAGGCGGCGGCATGAAGGAGACTCCTAGGCTGGTGGAGTTGAGGGGTTTGGCGGGGATGCTTGCGAGCGGGTCTGTGTGGGTTGATGGGGCGGAAGAGGTGGATGGTGTTTGGTGGTGATGGTTTGCATCGAATTGGAAGGGACTCGGGGCGTTGGTGGTGTGCCACCTTGAGGGACTGTGGAAGTCATTCTGGTTCTGGTTCTGATCCGGCTGTTGGGATAGGGTGTGGTTGTTTAGATGCTGGTCGGGTGGATGGGGCGATTGGTGTGTAGACAATGGCGAGGAGAGTAATGGCTGTGGCTGCGGTTGTTGGGGCAGCGGGGTTCGTTCGCGACTGGGGCATTCGCCTGTGACGCGGTCTGGGGGCGCAAAGCGGAGAAATCTATTGCGGATGTTGGAGGTTAGGAGCTGGAGCAGATCAGCTATTGTGACGCTGAGGTGGACGTCGTCGACGACGCAGGTGCGTAGGGATTCGATAGTACGGTCCTGTAAGTCCAGGGAGATGCGAACTTCATCTTCTTTGGCTCCTAGGGTAAATGTCTATAAAAGTATATATAATTAGCCGTTTTATCATCGAAAACTGCCAGGGGAGAAGGGAAATGGCACCTTCAGAATGAATATCATCCCCGATAGAATTCTGAAAAAAGTGCGAACGGGAGCATGTTTCAGAGAGTCACCGGGGACAAGACCATCCAGAACAGTTTTCAAAATGCGCCTAGAGGCATCCACCACCTCTTGTATATACGGTTCGTTGACCTGGTATTGCTCCATGAGGACGCGCCAAGAGGCCGTGGCCGTTGTAGTTGCAGTAGCGGTAGATGTATTTGCCGGACCAGTTGAATTCGGCCGTGCGGTCGCTGATGAATTTTGGACTTCGATAGTCATTGTCGTCCATCTATCCACAACTGCTTGAAGCGCGAGGCAGTTGATATATAGCCCTAAAAATGGACTTTAATATATGGTTTGGGCATAGATACAGAATGGGTTGGAGTCCTTTTTACTTACGAGTATATTCATATTCGATCGCGAGAATATGTCGCATATGGGCCGGCACTATTATTATGCATAGTTTAGTGACCCAGGCTCAGAAAGGAGTAAAAAATAAAAAATAAAAAAGTGTGAAAAAGGAAGGACTCACTGGAAACCCGGTCAAACTTCCCTTTAAACTCCCTCAACGACGGCGTAAACTTATCAATCTGCTCTCTATACCTCCCACTTTTAATCAAATTCGACGTCTGCTCTTTACTCTGAAACAGCACCTGGTTACTCGTATACATAATCTTTGAGATATCCATCCAGCAATCCTGCATAAGGTCAATCGAGCGGTCCTCATTGGGGTCTAGCAACCGTGACTCCTCCAGCGACAATCCAGGATCCATATTGATCCCCCACTGCGGTAGTGGAAGCATGGAAGGAATCCCCAGCCGGCCGCTGCTCTGCGATATATAGACGAGTATAAGCCTGCGCACGCGCCGCTTGCGGATCCGCTCCGCGAACGATTCCGTGGTGCTGGTGTGACTTGACAGCCGGTTATTTTTGGGGTCGAAGACGCCTAACTCGAAGGCGAGAGCTTGCGCGGTGCTGAGGAGCATCCATGACATGCGATCTGAGCGCCAGACGGGTTCGAGCCATTTGTAAAATGCCAGACGGCCCTCTGAACCAGAGCCATTGTGGCTGTTACTGTTACTGTTACTAAGACTGTGGCTCTGGTTTTTGGAACCGATCATGCCGTCATATTCATGATTATCCGCACTCTGAATCTGCGTGAGAAATTGCGGATCAATATCCAGCAGGGTATTCTCATCATCTCCAGGTGGGAAATGCAGAGCGCGTGGATGCCAATCAGTCAATAACAAGAGTGCCTCTATCGTGCCCAAAGATCTCAAATGGCCTCTGCTGGAATTCGATTGGCCGGGGTTCAAGGAAAATTTGGACATTTGGGATGGTAACGTGCCACCGTCGAACTTCTCCTGGCCCCAGAAGAGGCGCTCGATCATGCCCCGCAAGTAGGACCAGAGCTTCTCGTGAATGGAGTGGGCGCGAGAGCTAGCGCCATTACCTGTCAGGGGCATGTGGCGGGAGGCAATAGTGAGCATAGTTACAGTTAGGACGGGCTCTTCGGTTAGTAAAGTTAAATGGGTTGCTGGGGAGCTGTAGTCTGGTATTACGATGGGGCTTAAGGGGGCAAGATGTTCGTAGTAGCTATGAAAAAAAGGTTAAATCAGTATCAAAGTATCATTAATGGAGAGTTTCGCACTTACTATACAATATATCTCATAGCCTCATCGATACTAAACCACCCCGCCCTTATAAAGCGGAACCTCGACCACGCCCTCGCAGCATTCGCATAGTCCATATCCTCCGTATATCCACCCTTCAGCGATGCATCTGGGTTTATCAACCCTACCCCTGCTCCTCCAGCCTCGCCGCCCCCAACTCCAACTCCAACGCCAACGCCAACCCCTACCCCATCTGCAGTGCAGTGGTTAACTACCCCAGTTCTGGAGCCAGCCGGCAGCGTGTGAAGCTGATGACCAGACTGTTGCTGGCCAACAGACATCGACCTAGAAGATTTCCTCTGCGTACTGCCAGATGCCATGGCATCGGCGGCCCCCGTGGCAAAGCGCTGCTGGCGATTTAGGTCCTCTGTGCGTCCCGCGGCTTCGGAGAGGAGATGGAGGGCATCGTGGGTGTTGCTGATGGCTGGGGAGAGAAGTTCTGCAGCGGTGCGGTTCATGACTTGTTGGCTCAGACTGTTTTCGGCGTAGCTGGATGCACCCACCCGCGTTGGGAGTCGATTGTTATTGACGTTGGTAGTGGTGGCGGTGCTGTTGTTGCTGGGATACTGGCTGGAACTTATTGAGAGGCGGTTGGGCGGAGGGAGGTCCGGCTCAGTCCATCGACGGTGCGTCGGGGCCACGGCGATATCCGGATCTATGGCGGAGGAGGTTGTGTGCGAGAACGGGGAGACGCCGTTGCTTTTATTATCGTCATCATTGTCGTTATCATTACTGGTACTGTTATTGGTAGTGGTGGGATTGCCATCAGCAGGGTCGAGAAGGGACGCATCTGCGGACATCATCCGCTTGTCTCTGTGCAGAGTGACATCTTCCTCGATATCGCCATTGGCATGACCAGCAGTCTCTGATGTCTTACGTTTGCGGCGGGTAGCGGAGAACTCGCAGCGTTTGCTTTCTCTGCGGCAGCGGACGCATGGCGGGGGCCTGGGGTTGTCAACGCCTGGAGAGGGGAGAGTCGCAGCAGAGTGTTCACATTAGTGTATACGGATCGTTGTATGAAATATAAAAAAAACATCTACATATTTATAACGAAAATGTAAAATTGAATATTAAAATAGAAAGAGAAATAGAACAAACATACTTCCCAAGTCACAGCGGACTTTTCTTTTGCGACACGGATCGCAGGCCTGGTATCCACGGCGGTGCTGCGGGGCGGGGGAGGTCGATTTTCGCGGTGAGAATCCGGGGGTGGCGTTTGTGCTGGGGATAATTATTGAATTGGGGCTGGTCCTATTCTTGGTGGTGGGATTCGGTGGGGAGTTGTTGGGGATGTTATTGGCGTCGTGGGGTTGGACGGGCTGGTGCCGGTGAGAGTGAGAATGCGGATTTGAGTGCGAGTGTGAATGGTGAAGAGTGGGCAGCGAGGAGAAGGAGGTGGCAGAGGACGAGGATGGGGCAACCCTGGCAGCCATCCCTAGGTGCACAACAGGGCACAGGACGCAGCGGAGGAATAGCGAAAGAGATGAGACGAGATACAAGATGCTAACCCAGGGGCTGGGGGAATTGGTTGGCGTTGTATGTATGTGAGTGTCCGTTGTGTGGGTGTGTACCCCGAGTTTGTTGGAGGCGGCTGGACAGCAGGAAATCAAGGCCTGGAGACAGTCAGTTACACAGAGACAGAAGTTGGAGAGAGAGCGCGATAAGAATGAGATAGATAAAAGAGAAGCTAAAGAAGTCCAGACAGAGAGATGTCAAGAGAGATTGATTGATTTGGAATGGATACTGTCTTGGGGGCATGTGAAGTTCAGAAATCTAGAGAGTGGAGAAGTGTCTGACATCAACATTTGCTGGTGGTTGATGGGGTTAGTGACGAGGATCATTCATTGAATGACAACCCATTAAAAGAGAAACGCGGAGAAACACTTAACTTAGTTTTCTTTGGTTACTAAAATAAACTGATTAGTTATTAAATCCTTGCCAGCTAATAGTTAGTTAGTTGGTTACAGCTAATAGTTTAACTGCCCAACTTAACTAAGTGAATAACTTAAGTTATTATTAGTTAGCTAGCTAACTGGCTATTAGTTAACCAACAGCCCTGTTTTAGCATCCTCATGAGCGAAGGAATTATCCTGAAGCCCATTTGACTCCATAATTCCGGAGTTTTGTTCTGCCCATCCCTTGGGTAGTTATGAATCAAATGCCTGTACGGCTCCTCAGTGAGGGGACTAGTCTCTCTCCAACGTCGCATTCGAGGCTGAAGAATTTTCGTGTAAAACAACCTTGGAAGCCAACGGACGTTTTCTAGAACAAAAAAAAAAAAAAGAAAAAAAAAATGTCTATACACGTCTCGCACAGAGTTGCCCGTTTCCACTGGGGAGGATGCCATCTAGCTAGTATATAGTTTTTCATCGGGCCGCGTATTTCACACACCGCGCATCCTCCCCCCCCTCCTCCTCCTCCTCCTCCTCACCCGAATAAATTATTCAAATAACTACATCCTGCATGTATGCACTGCTGCTCTGTGCATATTCGACACTCGGCATAGACCGGAGCCTCATCCCGTCCAGCTTCCAATCCCCTGCAAGATGCCTGACAAGGATTACAACCCGTTTTGAGCCAATTGGCGTGTTCACCCGCCCTCAACTCGCCTTAAACCCCTATGCTGCGGTGCATCATTGCAGCGCAGATTATAGCTATCATTTATGACAGGAACCCAAGATTGTATGGCGTGCGCTTACTTCCAAACCATGGGCCTTCTAATTACCAAGGTCATGTCTGCTCCGTTGGAGGTGAATCTTACAATGCACCCATAGCCATCCAGGATATGTGGGATGGATAGGGTAGCTGTGTACTGTGAATTTTATGTGGAGTGAAGCTCCACGTTGTGGTTCCTGCTTCTAACTCGGTTCGCTGTTTGATTTGCTTGGTTTCTCGCCAGCTCCACCCGATCCCTGGTCAATGCGAATGCGGAGAAGCCAAAATAGTAGACAGGCCTTGGGGTCAAAGGAACGGATTTCACCACATACCTGGATCGCCTGCTCACGTGATATAGTCTTTCAAGTTGTGCACCAATTAAAATAACATGATTCACAAGCATGTGAGAATCTTGAGTGACTAATAATCAATTCTGATTTTAACCTGAACATCTATACCTAATTATTATTAATTAAATTAAACTGGTTTTAAAAATATTTTATATTTATATATAAATATATTATATATATATATATATATATATATTTTATAATTTCTATATTTATAAATATATATGATATATATATTATTAATAAAAATATAAATAATTAAATCATAGATTTTTAATTAATTTAATAAAATAATTTTAATAATAGAAATATTTATATTATAAAAAATATTAATAATTAAAAATTAAATTTATATATTATATTATATTATATATTTTTAATTTAAATTTAATTTTTATATTTATAAAAAATATATTTATATTAATAGTTATTAATATTATTTAATAATATATTTAATTTATATTATTTTTTATTTTTATTTTTATTTTTATTAAATTATAAATATTTTTTAAATTTATAAATTATTAATTATAATTAATAATAATTATTATATATAAAATATATTTTAAAAATATTTTATATAATTTAAATTTAAATATAAAATTAATTATAAATATATATTATGTTATTTAATTATAATAATTATAATAATAATAACAACAACATTTAATATAAATTTAAATTTAATATTTTTATAAATAGTTCTATTAATTTTTTTTTTTTTATTTTTATTAAATATTAATTATTATGATTTTAATTTATATTTTTTTAAATTTTATAAATAATTAAAATAATTATTTATATTAAATTTTAAACTTTTTTTAAAATATTATATTTATTTAAAAATATAATAAATTTTTAAATTATAATTATATAAAATAATTAATATATATTATTATTAAAAAATTAATTAATTTTAATTATTAAAAGTTTTAAAAAAATATTTTTATTTTTTATTATAATATATTTTGAATAATAGATGAAGATTGAAAAATTCATTTAATAATAAAAGCTGAGTTGAAAAAAAATATAATATATAATATATATATATATATAATGAAAACTCAAATCAAAAACAATCAATAATTAAATATGAAGTAATTATATAGAAACTAAATGAGATTCATTGCAATGAAAGTAAAAATTAAATAAAAAATTAAATAAAAATTAAAATAAGTAATAAGACTATTGTTATAATTTAAAGAAAATATTAATAAAATCTTATTGATAAAAATAAAAAATATAATAAATATAAAAATTAATAAAAAAGAAAGTAATATATATTAAATCACTTTCTAAATAACTATAACTTCTATTATTTCATCAGCTAAAATAGTATTAAATTATATATTATATAAAATTATAATATTATAATATAATTATATAGTTCTTTTAAAAGAAAATTAAATTAGTAGTAATTATAATTAAAATCAATATCAGTTTGATTAACAATATGAGAATACTTAGATTGAATGAACTAAGTATTAAAAGAAAGTATAAGAAACTATATAACTAGAATTATAAAAAAAAATAGATATATAGATACTATAAGAACTATGAAGAAAAAAGAAAAGTAATGAAATATATATGCAGAATTGAATAGTAGCTAATCACTGAATCTTTTGAAGAAGCTTTGAGAATTTAAAATATTTATATATATAAATAAATAGTAATAGATTTTATTTTTAATCTTTTATGAAATGAAGAATTATACTATAATTATCTGATTCTTCATAAAATGCTGATTCTATTTTTCAGAAAGTGCTGATTCTAAAGAATTGATAATTTTAAAGAAAATTTCATTTTTCTTTGTAAGCTTTCTGCTGAAGTGTTAAATTCTATAGTTCTTAAGTGACAGAAAGATCTTATTTTTTATCTCAAAGTTTGACTTTTAAAAGTATTTATTGATCTGTGATTTTATGATTTCTTATATTTTTTTTTATATTATCAGCTGTTAACTTTTAGATTTCCTTTATTTGAATAACATACTGTTATATATCTTCTCATTTGAACTTCTCTCTAAATAACATTCTCAGCAGTGACTTTCAATTGAAGAATATTTGAGATTTATATTTATAAGCAGTTAGAAAAAGTATTATTTTAGTTGATTTATTCTTTAAAACTTCAGTTACATGATTCATCATTGACAATCACTCATTTCAATTGTTCTGATAGTAGTCTATATATATATGAAGCTTGATTGTCAGATATTGATTGACAATCTTAGTCTGATTATTTGTTTATATATAATAAGCTGATGAAAGCTTTAGCTTAACTTCTAATTTTTTAATAAGCTCATTTCAGAAGTCTGAGATGAACTATGATTTATAATTAACGTAACTGAATCTGATACTTTATAATACTCATAGTAGTATTATAAGAATAGTTTCATTAGCTCTTTAACATTCATCTTTCTTGTGATGAAGATAGATATAAACTTCTTACTTAATTAATAAACAATCATCAATATCATATCATGATTTCTTTTTATTATTGAATTATTTATGAAGTTTATTGATATGTACTATCAGACTTTTATTAGAAATTAATAGCAATTTTAGTAGCTTTAAGATCTTGTTATAGAAGATTTTTATTCATCAATACACAAAGCAGTTATTTATATATTGATTAATATTCTTAATTTAGTCATTTCAGTAATATCTCATTCTTTACTAGTAAGCATAGTTTTTTCTTCTCAAAATATGCTGTTGATATTTGCTTATGAATTTTCTTTAAAAGATATATATAAAGAGTAAAATCTTCTTTAATTGATATCATTAAGTGCTTTTTAAAATATAAAAGTTCATATATCAATTTTCAGAGCTGTTCTCTATATTGCACTTTCTCATATCATAGTTTTAGTGATTTTACTTCTCTGTTTCTTATTTTAACTTTATTAAAAATATATATATCTACATTTATAGTCTTGATCTTATTAAGTTTCTTGATGATTTATAAATCTAATTTTTTTGACTTAAAAAACAGTTGTATTTAAGTACTTATGCTATCTTTTTGCATTTTAGCTAACTCAGTATATCTGCTAGTGTATTCTGATACTCAGACTGATATTGAATTAAGAAGTAGAATCAGAAAAGAAACTCTACTCAATATATTTGTCATATATTGAGATTTTTAATTATCATAAAGTATTTAACAAGCTTGATGATCAGTTAAAATATTAAATCTCTCTGTTCTTAAAG